GAAGCAGTCTGCTCCTGAACCCGAGACACCACGGCGGGCGAATGATGGTTTGCGAATTCGGCGAACAGGTGGGGCCGTGGGCAACCCAAGAGGGCCTCCTGGTCCTTCCTGGCTCCCCGGCAAACCCCATTTTGGGGGGTTTTTGCATTCCTTCATCCACCACGGTGCATTTAAGATGACTCAAAATACGAATACACATCAGAGGGAGAACTTCTACAAAATTTCAAAAACAGTCTACCATCAGCGTCTGACCTGTGGGGTCCATAATCCCAGGGAAACTAATTTTGTTCCCGGAGGCCTCCTAACGCCTCCCTCTGGATGCTTTGAGCACCTGCGGCTGGACCTTGTCCACCACCACGTGGCATGGGTTATCGACATGTCCTTGCTACTGGATGCTGTTTTCTGGACGGGTTGAAGCCTTTCCCTGCTGCAGGGCCCATGTCCTCACAGTGACAAAGAAACTGTTGGAATACGTGTTTCCCCCTTGGGGTGTACCTCCCACCGTCTCCAGGGATGTAGCACCCATTGCACGGGGAGATCACGTGAGCATTGACCACTTGGGATTCCCCTGCTCGTAATCATCACAACAACAACCCTGGTGTGCTCATCAAGCCAACGACCTCCCCAAGACTGGAACACCAGGAAAGAAACGAAGACAGAGACGGCGACCAACGTGAAGGCTGTGAACTTGAAGTCCTGACCTGTGACTATCACAGAGATTTAGCAAACAAGCCACAACCTGTGAGTGTCACACAGGGTGGACAGAGGCGGCGGGAACCTCATGGCAATGGTGGGGGTGGCTCGAATGCCTTGGCTTCTGACCACTTTTCTCATTAAGCTGCGAGGTCTCACCCAAAGGGGGCCACTGTTAAAAGAGAGACACAAGAGGCCCTACATGGAGCCACCTGTGCTAAGCCCGAATCACCAAAACAAGGCACAGCACCTCACCTGGCTGCAGTGTCCGCCTCCCCCAGGCCTGTGACCTGTGGTCACTCTGGGATTTCCTGGTTAGCAGGGGTGAGGTAGATGCCTGGTAGACCCCTGTGGGCCCCCAAGGAAAGGTAACGTACCCTGCTCCTTCCTGGTCCCTGCCTCTGCAACCTATAAATTCTCCCATGTGAGCAGAACCTTGCAGCCCCCTTCTAGGCACCAGATGGGATGCAGCCCGATTCATGAAATCACTGAATAAAGCCAATTGAGCTTTACATTTACCCAATTTTTTTTTAAACAATGGTAAATCTTGCAATCAGGTGCTGTGATTCTCGCAACTTTCTCCTTTTTTTCAAGATTGTTTTGGCTATTCGAGGTCCTGTGAAATTTCCATGTAAAATTTTAATTTTTATTTAAAATTTTCATTAAATGAAAATTTTGTAGTTTGATAGGCATTACACTGAATCAATCGATTGTGGGAGAGGTGACATCTTACCATTGCTGAGTCTTCTTATCCATGAACATCCCACATCTCTACTTGTGTAGGCTTTCTCTAATTGCTTTCTACACTGTTTTGTGAGGATCTTGCAGATATTTTGTTAAATGTGTCTTTGTGTCTTTTATGTTTTTAATGTCACTATGTCACTGTTTTTTTAAACTTTATTTTCCAATTGTTTGTTGCTAGTCTAAACATTCAGTAGTCTTCTACATATTGATGTCATATTTTGAGATCTTGCTAATTTCTACTTGCAATGAACAACTGTAGTGTTTGTTAAGCTTCTGTAAGGTTTTCTGTATATGCAACCACATTGTCTGCAAAGAAAGTTAGTTTTACTTTTTCTGCTGCAAGCCGTATGTCTTTCCCTGCCTTTTCTGACCTTCTTACACTGGTTAGGAACTGCGGTGCAATGTGGACAAGGAGTGCGGGGAGTGGTTCTGATTTTCAATAGGAATGTGCTCAGTTGGTCATCTTTAGGTGTATAGGTTCTCCAGAGATGTCAGTTTCCTCCTACTCCTACTTTGAGGGCCATTATCATTATGATATTATGATTTATAATAAGAGATATATATTTACTCTTCATCCCATTTCTGGCAGAGCCCCTAAAACCTTTGGGATTTCCTAAGTGATAAGAAAGATAAAGGTGTCCTCTGTTTTCATTCAAGCCTCTTGTAACCACACTTGAGTTTATGCTGATGTGGTCACTTTTGGAGAGCCCATATGTAGGTAACCACAAGACGGGGGCTGGTGGCCAGGGGAGCCGACCATGATTAGAGGGTTGGAACTTTTGGTCCCACCCCCAACCTCCAGGGAGGAGAGCTTGGCTGCATATTGATCTCATTACCAATGCCCAACAATTTCCTCAGTCATACCTAGTAATGAAGACTCCATAAACACGCATCAAGACTGGGGTCCAGGAGCTTCCTTGTTGGTGCCAATGTGGGGAGAATGGCTCACCTGGAGAGACAAGGAGGCTCTGTGCCCTTCCCCACACTGGGTCTTGTGCATCGCTGGCTGGTCTGGCATTAGATCCTCTTACATTAAACCAGTGATCCAGTGAGTGAAATGTTCTCTGAGTTCTGTGAGCTGCTCTAGCAGATGAATCAAACCCATGGCAGGGGGTGTGGGAACCTCCTGCCTGGAGCTGGTTGGTCAGAAGCATAGGTCACAAGATGGACTTGGGGTTGGCATCTGAAGTGGGGGCGTCTCGTGGGACAGAGCCCACCACCTGTGGGTCTGATGCCGTCTCCAGGTCGTGTCAGAGTTGAGATGACACTCTTTCAGGGTCCACTGAGAACTGGAGAATCGCTTGGTGGGAAAACACACATCAAATCACAAGCAGATGTTGCCTGTTGTCAAATGCTTTCCCTTCATTGAGATGGCAATAATTTCCATACTTTATTCTCTGAACATATTGAATGGGCACTTACTGTTCACAATTAAACTGACCTCATGTCCCTGGGGTAAACCCCCCTTCATCATGGTGTATTATCTTTTTTTGTATTTGGCTGGATTCATTTTGTGGATATTTTATTAAGAAATTTTGACTTAAGGTCATGGAGGGTATTGGTCTGTAGTTTTCCGTAACCTCTTTGTCTGGCTTTGATATCAGGGTTATGCTGGCCTCATAACGTGATTTGGGATGTGTTCCTTCTCCTATTTTTCTGAAAGAATTTGTAGAGAATTGATAGTATTTATTCCTTAACTACGTGATGGAATTAACCTGTGAAGTATCTGGGCCTGGAGTTTTCTTTGTGAGAAGGTTTATAATTATGATTCAAATTTCTCTGATACAAGACTGCTCAGATTTTCTGTTTCTTCTTGTGTTAGTTTGGTAGTTTGTGTTTTTCAGGGACTTTGTCTATTCAATCTAAACTGCTTAATTTATTGGAATCATATTTTATTATTACCATCCCATGCTTAACGGATGTGCAGTGATATTCCTTCTGTTCTGAGAGGGGCATTTTGTGTTTTTAGTTTTTTTGGTCAGGCTGTCAAAGAGCTTATCATTTTATCAAACTTTTTGAATAACTTACTGTTGGGTTTATTCACTATTGTTTTGTCACTTTAAAAAATTTCTTTGATTTGTACACTAGATTTTATTATTTCCTTCCTTCTTACTTAGTTTGGGTTTAATTTGTACGTTTTTGGATAGCTTTTTAGATAAGAGATTTTATACCTTTCTTTTCTTTTTTTTCTTTTTTTAAAAAAGATTTTATTTATTTATTTGAGAGAGAGAATGAGAGAGAGAGAGCACATGAGAGGGGGGAGGGTCAGAGGGAGAAGCAGACTCCCTGCTGAGCAGGGAGCCCAATGTGGGACTTGATCCCGGGACTCCAGGATCATGACCTGAGCCAAAGGCAGTCACTTAACCAACTGAGCCACCCAGGTGCCCTATACCTTTCTTTTCTAATACAGGCATTAAAAACATAAATTTCCTTCTGAGGTTGTTTTCTGTTGAACCCCACAAATTCTCATAAGCTGTGTTTTCATGATGGTTCAGTTCAAAGTATTTTCTACTTTCTCTTGCAACTTCTTCTTTGACCCATGGGTTATTTAGAAGTATAGTGTCTAATTTCCAAATATTTGGAGTTTTTCCAGATACATTTTTGCTATTGATCTCTGATTTACATTCTGGTCAGACAATGTACTCTGTTTGATTTCAGTCTTTTTTTAAATTTACTGAAACTTGATTACGGCCCAGCAAACGACCTGTCTTGGTGAATGTTCTATTTACATTTGAAAGAAATGTCAATTAGATCAATTTGGTTAATTATGTTGTTCAAGACTTCTCTAGCCTTAGTGATTTTCTGTCTTATTTTTCTATTAATTACCCGCAATTCTGCGGCCCTGGTATTATTTCTGCCACTTGTTACAGCAGCCTTGCTGCTGCTGTTGTTAGTAACTGAAAATATTAACCAGCATTCAACAAGGGCCCCCTGTGTATCAAGCACAGTGATAAGCACTTTGTGTGGATTGTGTCCTGTAGTCCTTACAACAAACATTTGAGCAAAGTATTTTTATCCCCATTGGACAGACCAGGAAACTAAGGAACAGAGAGGCAAAGTAGGCTGCCCAGGTCACACAGCTGTGTTGGTTGAATCTGGACTCGAACCTAGGTCTGCCAGGGGGCCCATGTCCCTTTCCCCAGCCACAGGAGCCCCTCACATGGGTGTGTGGTCAGAGGGGGGTCTGCATGTCACCACTCCTTGGCTGTGGCGGCACCATCCACTCCGGGCTACTTCCTCCCTCCCTGGTCTCAGATGTGGTCTCTGCATGCTCTCTGGCCCCTTGGTTGTGAATCCAGCACCCAGGATGGGAAGGAAGGGCCTTGTCTGGCTGGACATCTGCTCTACACCAGGCATCTAGAGACCAAGATTCAACTCCCAACTCCCCCAGGGACCAGCCCCATGAGTCCTTTCCCCTCCAAGCCTGTTTGCTCATCTGCACCTGTGGGGCTTCTCTCTCCTTCCCCTCCCCGACCCCCGCCTCCCAGGGTGAGCAGGTGCCCCGCTCCCCCCTTGCCCCCATCATCCCCGCAGGAGGCCGCAGTGGCTGGGCTCGTCCCTACCTGGGCCAGCTGCTCTTCCCAGCATGCCTTCTCTCCCCGGTTGAAGACTGCCTCTGTGGGACAGAAGGGCATCGCTGGAGGCCAGGTCTGACATCCACACCGGGGCTAGATCTCAGGCTCCTTCTCCCCCAGCCCTTGGGCGCTGGACTGAGTCTGGGTGAGTCCTGCCTCTGTTTTTCCTGGCTTCGTGGGGGCAGTGAGCTGGGCTTGGGCTCGGGGTCTGGACAGCTGGGCTTGGGCTCGGGGTCTGGACAGCTGGGCTTGGGCTCGGGGTCTGGACAGCTGGCCTGCGAGTTGTGACCCTGCCACCCCTCCTGTGTGATCTCAGGTGGGCCATGTTGCCTCTCAGGGCCTCAGGCTCTCTGATGGTGAATGGAGGGGTCCCTCTGGGCATGGCCATTTGGAATGTGCTAGAATCCCCTTGAGAGTGGGGAGATGAGGCTCGGAGAGGGGTGTATTGTGAGAACGGAAAGCTTTTATGGAACTTTGGAAACTCAACCTCAGAGGGAGGGCAGCTTTGGGGATGGCCCTGGGGGTCTCAGAGCTGACCTGGGCACAGAGGTCAGCTTGCCAGTCCCGGGCAGGGTGTACGAAGCTGAGTTAAGCTGGGGCCTGCCTCTTCCCGGCCTCGGAGCCCAAACTCCCAAGCTCAGCCTCTGAGGCTTCTCCCACTGGACCGGGCCCCCCTGTAGATGACTGGCCGCTACATCCATTTCCTCCCATCGCCCCCAACCTCTCACTGAGGCCCTGGGGGTACACGTACACACACCATTCCCTCCTCAAACTCCTACACATTCCTCGAGGCATGGCTCAGGCTTGGGCGCCTCCTCTTTCAGGAAGCCCTCCCTGATGGCCACCGGAGCGGCCCAGTACCTGCTGGGGGCAGCAGTGTGCTCAGCTCACACTTGTGAGTGAGTGGTGCCTGAATGAAAGTTGGCGTCTGCCTCCCTCGTGAGGCCGTGAGCTCCTGAGGGCAGGGAGCCCGGCACAGGGCAGGTGCTCAGCCAGAGTTGGTTGTTCTGCATTAGCTAAACACTCTCCCTGGGAAGACTCCTCCCTCTGGGTCCTCCCTCAGGGTCCTCAGAGACCCCACTGTCCAGGGTGGCCTTCCTGCGGCTCAGGGTTGGTGCTGCTGTGGAAACACTGGGATGCGGATGCCACAGGCCTGTGACGTGCTCCTGGGTGGCTCTGGGCCCCTCACACTGCTTCTTGGAGCTTGGCTTCCTTGTCTGCTGGTGAGGAGGAGCACCCGCCTGCCTCAGTGACCAAGGGACAGGCCTGTGTGGCAGTGCGTGGGCCTCACACCCATCCTGGGTCACCTCCAGAGCTTCCTTGCTCTGTCCTGCTTCTGTCCAGGCCACTGTGGAAATGCACCCCACGGGAGCATGGGCCAGTGGGGACCAGCAGCACAGTGGGTGGGCTGGAGGTCTCCTTTCGTGGGGGTCCTGATGTGGCCCGGGTGGGCCATGGGGCTGGGGGCTATGGAGGGCTCAGACCACAGCCCATTTCCCCTGGCACGGACATGCTTCACTGCTGTGTCCCTGATGCCCGGCTCTGCATTCGTCCCCCAGGTCAACAGTCTTGCCAAGCCCCCTTCCACCTCTTTCCCTGTGACATGCCCCGCCGCTGCCCTGGGGAGCTGGCGGGCAGAGGGTGGCCACGGCGAGGCTGGGGGGTGCCTCAGGCCCCTAGGGCAGGACATACCATTAGAGGTCAGGATGCCCATCACGTAGAGGAGGCTGCGGTGTGGGAAGACGCCCGTCAGGACCTCGGTCTCCAGGTGCTGGGCCACCACCCGCCACGAGTGCCTGCAGATGGCCAGCAGCACGTTGCTGGCCGCGTCCTGGTATGCCTCTTCCAGCTCCTGGAGGGTGGGAGGCGCAAAGGAAGAGTGGGCACCTGGACAAAGGTTTGGCATTTCACACACAGGGTCGAGCTTGGTGGGCAGGGCAGCTGTTGTCAACCCAGTTTTTGGTTAGGAAACTGAGGCCAAGATAGCCCAATATATACAGGGGGCAGGTGAAGGGCCGGCTCCACCCCAGGCCTTAGAGCTTCCTGTGACTCTCAACTTCCCTGGTCCTCCTACCATTCCGGAAACCCACAGTGCTTCCTGTGCTGCTCCGGCCCACCTGTCTATCCGCAGCTCCTCCTGTTTTAAAGCCCGCCCCCGGGGGCCACACTCAGGAGATGCGGCCTGAGGGGTCCTGTCAACGTCGCCTCTTTTCTTGAGCTCCTGGCGGCTCGGAACAATGTCATGGCCTTTGATTCTTTCGCACCCGTGAATTCCGAGCCCCAGTCTATGCTTCTGTGTCCCGAGGAGGCAGGGTGTCCCCTGCTGGGGGCAGAGGCCCGCCCACCACGGTCTGGTGAAGTGGTGGCCGCGGGCACAGAGGAGCCTGGCTCTGTGCAGCCACACCTGCTCTAGTTTCGGGTTCCTCTTTTCTCCGGTTCTTGGTAGGAACCACCAGGTGATTTCTGTGGCTGCTGGTGTGAGGGTGGTGCCACAGGGTCGTTGCCGGGCCGAGGCCAGGGGTCCGGCCCGCATTTGGGGGCATCTGAAAGTGAGGGGGTCTACAGTCCCTCCCTGAATGCCCTGTGATGTTGTTGGAATCCTCATATGAAGTCATTCTGTCGTTTACAATTTACGGCAAGTTTCCATACGAGGGCTTCTCATTAAGGTGGTGGATTGAAGCCAATTTTGCTCTTTCAAGACAACACCTCAACTCAACGACATTTAGGAGATGATTTAAAAAGGACAATAGTATCCACGTTCTGGGAGCTGGAGAGCCGGTGAGTGAGAGGTAAAAGGGCTGAGCACGAGCCCATGCAGCCAGGTCTGCCACTGTTGGGGGGACTCGCGGAGGGCGCGTCTCCCAGACCTCTGCAGCGAGCGGGACCGGGGATGGTGCGGCGGTTTACGAGGGAGTCAGGTGCCCGATGCTGTGCCCACTCTGCACACCTGCAGGGTCCGGCAAAGTCCAGAGGCTCGGTCACTGGAGGGGGCAGGCATGGGTCTGTGGCGGGAGGCCAGGTCCTCCACAGCGCTGCCTGGGGGTCTTTCCCTCTGGCCAGGCACCATATTAGGGTCTTTTCTGGGAAATCTGGGCAGCCCAGGACAAAAGTCATAGAGGTCAACATGGGTGCCGGGCAGAGGTAGGCTCACCGGTACTCTACAGTGGACCCCGAATCCCACCACCTGCCCGTGTGTTCAGAGCTCCCTATCAGCACTAACCACGGGCAGGCAGCCACGCTGGAGAAGGCTCGGGTGTGGGAGACGAAAACCACCACCACACACCCAACAAAACCCAGAAAACAGCTCCTTGGAGGAAATACAGGCCAAACAGAGAAATGAAAACTTCAAACGAAGCTGTGTCTTTAACATCCTGAGAGATAAGAGGAGGTATTGCGTCCACAAATGCTATAAACAGCATGATGCGAAAAGGAACATTCTGGGGACAAAATCAAGATCTTGAGAGAGTCGAAGGCACGAGGAGCAGAGCCGGAAACGCAATAGGAAGTCTGGGAGACAAAGAGTCTTCAGAGAGCAGAACAGAGGACAGGGAGCTGCTCGAGGAGAGACCAGATGAGAATACTGGGGACCACCGAGCAGCCTGCACCGGCGTGTCAGACGTCCCTGAAGCCTTGGGCAGAGAAACCCAGGAGATGAGACCATCAGTGAATTAAGTGAGGAATGTTCCAGAAGCAAAGGGCCCAAGCAGCCAGACTGCAGGAGGCAGGGCGGAAAGGCATGGTGACTGGGACAGACCCAGAGCGAGGCGCCCTTGGGGAGCTGCAGAGCGTGCACACACAGGGAAGAGGCTGCATGCCCGTCAGCAGGAAGGTGAGGGCGGAGAGAGGTCTAACGTCCAGAATGGCTGTGGAGTCTCTCCGGCGGCACCAGGGGCAGCCGGGAGACCACGGGATGCTATCAATGCAACATGACAATGATCTTGTCAAACGGGAAAGTACTGAACTGCAAAGCAAACCAAAAGTTTATTTGGGATCTTTGGGAATCCCAATCGGGGAGACACAGATTCAGCAGGAAACAGAAATGTGGTTGGCATGGGGGAAGAGAAACAGCTTATAAAGGTAAAACCCACAGGCTTATCGAAACCGTTTGAAAGAATTATGATTGGTGTAGACAAAACTAATTAACCTTGGTCTGCACAGGATAAGTCACTATGCTGGTTGCTAGGTCGGCATTCAGGGAAATAAGCCTCATTCTGGGAAATGCAACACAATTGGCCGTTTGCAGTCAGCTTGGCCTAAAGTTCACACTCATCCAGGTGTGGATGTGCATGAGACCCACCTCCCTGGTGGCCTTCGCTACCACCCTGACCATCCTGACTTCATTTCAGATGTTTCTGTCCACGGTCTCCAACACAGAGTCCAGGGTGAACCAGAACAGACAGATTTCCAGAAATGCCTGGTCTTAAACTGTACTTCCCAAGCGCATGTTTTCAAGAAGCTGCCGGAGGGTGTGTATCTCCAAAGCAAGAGAGCGAGCCAGAAAAGAGGAAGGCTTGGGGTCTCTGAGACACCGTCCCCAACTGGGATGGGCTATGGGGGTCCCAGATTGGGCTTTGGACACCAAGATGCCAGCAGACACGCTCAGCTGGCTGGGACCTGGGTGATGGCGTGCCTGTTCTCCCCTGTGAGTCCTGGACCAGCTCGTGGTACCTACAGAAGTGATCGCACCAGCCCACACTGGAGAGCTGGTGGTGGGTGGTGGCGTGTGCGGAAGCAGGCGGTGCCCTGCCTCGGAGGGGCCCTTGTCCACCCTCAGGGAGGCTGAGTCAGGCCACCACCCAGACGCTGGTGGGCTCTGCTTGTTCTGCAGCCCTCAACAGCCTGGGTCACCATTGCCCCTCTCTCTTACTACTGGTCTGTCGACTATTCGTAGGTGCCTTGCATTTTAAAAATATGACTGGCATGCTTTACACGATGACTTAAATTTAAAAAAAGGTACAGAATTTTAGAACACAAATACACGGGCTATGAACTTTGTTCCCTGTTTTCTGATATCCACACTGGAAGGGTCTACAGACTTCTTTGTGGGGAGCACAGAGACTGGTCACACCGGCCATTTACCAGCTGGTTAACTGCTGCAGGCAAATCTCTTAGATGGCTGGAGCCTCGGCCCCTTCCGTCTGTAAATGGGGGTCATACATACGGATTCCTACTTTGTGGAGTGCCAAGGCTCATCCCTGTGGTGACAAGTCACGTCCACAGTGGGGCAACCCTGGGCTAGTCTGTCTAAATCAGAGCTACCAGCCCTCCAGTCTGGGAGCCGAAGTCCCCAAGGCCGTTGGCAGGCCTGGGGCAGGTCCGGGGACCACATCCTGAGGTCGGCGGGTAGGAGTGGTGTGGTCTCCAGCAGGCGGGACCCAGGAGGCAGCTGCAGAGGCGGAGTTAAGCCTGGAGAATGGGTGGGATTCGTAGGAGGGCTTCAGAGGCTGGGTGTGGGCAGCAGCCGTGGGAATGGTAAAACAGGTGGTAGGGGGGCGGCAGGGCAGAGACTTTTAGGAAAGGGCGCTAAACTGCAGCTGACATTCGGCGCTTCCACTTATGGGCCCTGTAGACTCAGACAAGCAATGAGTTCTCTGAATCTCACCTTTCTCAACTGTAAAATGGGCATGTGAGGTTGTCCCTCTGAAGGGGCTGGTGGTAAGAAAATGAAAAGGACTGAGATCACTTGGTCAGCCACAGGGCTGGGCACCCCCACCATTATTTGGATGCTGGGGGCAGCAGCCTGCGTTCCCAGAAGTGGCCTATTTGCTGGGATGGGAGGCACACCGTGGACTTGGTCATGTTCTCCAGGGCCAGCTGCATGAATGACTTCTCCCAGGCCTCCTCCAGGGAGTCGCTGGCTTCAATGACTGCCTCCAGGACGTGGAACAGCCGGAACCTGTGGCGGGAGGAGATCTGTGGGTGGCAGAGTGGGCAGAGGTTCAGAGGCATGTTGGGTCTGGTCACACAGGGAGTGGCTACCAGTGAAAGCCTAGGTGTGGGGAGGCTGAGGAGGCCAGAGGGAGAGGGAGAGGGAGAGGACAAATGGAGGCACTTGGCCATTTGTCCAATAACCATTTAGTGAACATGCACTATGTGCAGGCCCTGAACTAGGTTCTACAGAGACAGACGAATAAAAGTTTGTCTCTAGCTTCAGAAACTGCTATGGGATTTTATTTATTTTTTTATTATTATTAAAAATTTTTTTAAAAAATATTTTATTTGTTTGACAGAGAGAGACAGCTAGAGCAGGAACATAAGCAGGGGGAGTGGGAGAGGGAGAAGCAGGCTTCCCGCTGAGCAGGGAGCCTGATGCGGGGCTCGATCCCAGGACCCTGGGATCATGACCTGAGCCGAAGGCAGATGCTTAATGACTGAGCCACATAGGCGCCCCAGTTATGGGATTTTAAAAGCATTCTGCCTCTACAGTCAGTTCATTCATTCATTCATTTTTTTAAAAAAAGGTTTTATAGAGTGAGTGAAAGCGAGAGAGATCACAGAGGGAGAGGGAGAAGCAGTTTCCCTGGTTGAGTGGAGAGCCTGATGCAGGGCTTGATCCCAGGACCCTGGGATCAAGACCTGAGCTGAAGGCAGGCATTTAACCAACTGAGCCACCCAGGAACCCCCATTCATTCATTTATTCATTCATTTATTCACCCATTCATTACAACTTAATCAGATCTTCCTGTTAATTATCCATCTGTCCATCTACCAACCTATCCAAACATCCATCTATCCATCTACCCACCCACCTATCCATCCACCCATCCAACCATCCATCCATCCATCCATCCATCCATCCATCCATCCATCTATCCATCCATCCATCCATCTATCCACCCATCCATCCATCTATTCAACTATCCATCCATCCATCCATCCATCCATCCATCCATCCATCCATCCATCCAACCATCCATCCATCCATCCACCCATACATCCACCCATCCATCCATCCATCCACCCATACACCCACCCATCCAACTATCCATCCATCATCCAACCATCCATCCATCTACCCAACTATCCACCCATCCAACCATCTATCCATCTGTTCAACCATCCACCCACCCACCTATCCATCCATCCGTCTGTCTGTCCATCCATCCATTCATCCATCCATCCACCCATCCACCTCTTCCACTTAATCATTCTGTGACTTTAGGCAGATCACTTCCCTTTCCTAAGCCTGTTTTCTTATCTACAGGGATCATAACATCTATATCATGGGACTATTCTGAGGGTGGTCACACATGTTGGTCCAACTTCCTCCCTCCCCACTCAGCCTATTGGACATATGAGGAGATCAACTTGCCCCAAATCATTTAGTTGTACCAAAGAGCCAAGATTTGAACTGGACTTGTGGTCTGGACCTCCCCTTTGCTCCCCATGCAGTCCCTCCAATGACCCAAGCAACTCCCACCTTGGGGTTGTCTACAAAGTAGTCATGGATGGTTTCCAGCACCAGGTTGGGGGTCCCATAAGCCATGTTCTTGATCTTCTTGATGATGTACTTCAGGTGGAGGGGGTCTGAACTATTCAGGTCCCGGAGCATCTTGAAGCAAATAGCTAAAGAAGATGGAAAAAGTGTGAGGGTTGATGTGATGTGGGAAGGTTACATTGTGCCATCAGGGATAAGTGGATAGAGAAGGGGGTAGGGCCAGGAATGGGAAACAATGATCTAAAAATGAGGACTGAAGAACTGAACACATTGGGAATTCCTGGGCCTCCTGACTGTCCAAACAATCCTCCTGGAGTTTGAGATAGGATAAGAAGCAGGAATGTGGGGCACCTGGGTGGCTCAGTTGGTTAAGCGGCTGCCTTTGGCTTAGGTCATGATCCCGAGGTCCTGGGATTGAACCCGCATCCAGCTCCCTGCTCAGGGGGAAGCCTGCTTCTCCCTTTCCCACTCCCCCTCCTTGTGTTCCCTCTCTCGCTGTGTCTCTCTCTGTCAAATAAATAAAATCTTAAAAAAAAAGAAGCAGGAATGCATGAAGATTTTACACCCTTATATACCCATGCATATTTCCATCCATTCATTGATTCAACCACTTTTTCATGCATCCATTTATCCAATCATCTATCATCTACCTATCCATTGACCCATCTGTCCATCCACCCACACATTCATTCATATGTCTGTTTGTCCATCAATTCATCCACCCATCCACCTGTCTGTCCATCCTTACATTCACCCATCAATCCATGCATTAATAAATGTATCCATCCATCCATCTGTCACCCATCTGCTCATAAATTTACCTATCTACTTGTCCATCCACCCATCCATTCATAAGTTTATCCATCCATCAATCACACATGCACTCAAATTAACCATCCATCCCTCTGTCCCTCTATCTATTCTTCCCTTCACCCCTTCACCTTCCATCTAGTCATTCAACATTCAATGATGTTCCCTCTGTGTCACCACAGGTCTGTGAGTGAGGGCTCAAAGAAGAGTCAGGGCCCAGCTCAGTCCTGAAGGAACCTCCAGCCCATGGGAGCCCTACCCACTATCAGTGGACTTTGGTCCTGTAGTTGTATAAAAGGCCCTGGGCACACAACAAGGGGAGGGGCAAAACATCCCAACAAAGAGGGAGGGACATTTAGGACTGGCTACTCAGAGGAGGTGGCAATTTAACTTTGCCTAGAAGGATGAAGGCAAGTCATCCTTTGAATGAGGGGATAAGCATTCCTGTGAGAGGACCAGGCCAAGGCTGAGGTCCTAAGTGGGAAAAGGTGTGGGAAGAAAGTGGAAGGTGAAGTGTGAGGGAGGGAGGGAATTTTTGGGCTTTGGATGGTGCCTCAGGAGGCATGAAGAGACCAAGGAGGGTGTGTAGGGCTCTCTGCTGAAAGCCTCGCTATGTCCACGAGGTCCTTGACATCCCCAAGGTCCCACCAGTGTGGATTCCTTCTGGTCCTCATCCCCAGGACTTATTTGAGTGGAGGGACCTGATGCGGTCTGTTGGAACTGGACCATGCCATCTCCACCTTGCCAGAGTCCCAGGGCTGGTGATCACCTGCATTATAGGCTTCCTCCATGAACATCTTGTGCTCCTTGGGCACAAGAGCAGCCTGGCTGCTGTGTGACTTGCAGAGCAGGATGGTGGTGGGGTGTGCCTGTCTGTCCCTGTGGGCAGGGTCCTGAGGTACCTTCATGCAAGATAGGTCCTTTGTGGATCTGGAGACATGGGAGGAGAATCTGAAATGGAAAAGAGGTCCAGGGTGTGTGTGTATCTGGGCACCTTTTTGTGCATTCACGAATGCAAGCCCAGTAGACACTGAGAGCCATGTTGGTCAGGATCAGGCTTGGCAATGTCCTTCTGTGTCTCCACCTTTCTGTTCAATGGTCTGGCTGAACTCCAAGGGGGAGTAGGGAAAGAGTCTGGAGGCCTCAGGGATGTTGTTAAGTCAGCAGTATTGCCTGTGGGCCTGGAGAGGCCTGACTCCTAGCAAGTGCAGGTGGCACAGACATGACTGGCAGGACCTGGAGGGCTCAGGGTATGGCATCCCCAGCTCCAGCTCTTGCACTGATTTGGAGCAGCCAGTCTTTTCCAGGACAAACACGAGAGTGCCCTGGCTACCCAGATATCACTGCTGGGGTCTTTGAGAGAGGTCCAAGAGCTGCGGAGCAGGTGGGAGCAGGAGCCATGAAGATGGGTGCACTGGACCACATCCTCATCTGTGCCCCAGGCCCCACCATCCTGGTGCTTGAGAACAATTATGTGTGCATGATGGAGACACTGAGAAGAGCTGTGTGGCAGGGGCAAGGAAGGACATCAGCCCTCACCTTTTCTTTTGCAAATGTGGGGACAGGATTCCCTCAGACTGTGCTCATTGCCAGAGGGGTCAAAAAAGGAGGCATCCTTCATTTTTGGGGTAGTGCCCAAGCTGTTTGTTTCACAACTTCCTCTTGGACCCTCCTGGCAGAAGTGGGTTCTGCTCTGCTTGCTCTGGGACCTCATTTCTTGTTCACTCACAGTTCCCAGTTCCCAAGTACTGACCACGGGCATGGTGTATTCTTTCTAGCCACTAAGGATATAACTAAAGATATATGGATATCTAATGTCTGATATTAGTGGGTTTGTATATTCCCCCCCAATTTTTGAGTTGTTTAAGGAAGGAGGGGGAATCTGGTCTTTGTTGCTCCATCTTTGATGGAAGCACTGGTATTGTTCATCATCTTCAGGACTTTGGGGTTTTTTCTGAGTTCAGTGGGGAACCACAGAGGGTTTTGAGTGACATGATCTGACATACATTTTTTTAAAGATTTATTTATTTATTTATTTGACAGAGAGAGACAGCGAGAGAGAGAGAACACAAGCAGGGGGAGTGGGAGAGGGAGAAGCAGGCTTTCTGTGGAGCAGGGAGCCCAATGTGGGGCTCGATCCCAGGACCCTGGGATCATGACCTGAGCTGAAGGCAGATGCTTAACGACTGAGCCACCCAGGTGCCCCCTGACATTTCTTTTGTGGTTGAATAAATTAATGGGTAAATGTTAAAAGAGATGAACCACCTTCTAATATACCACATGATGTACCTATAGAATTTGTTGATGGTTTTTTGTCTTGTTCACATTGAATAAAAAATTACCAGGCACACTGGCAGCAAGAAAATATGACCCCTAAGTAGGAGGAAAAAATTAATTGATCAAAAGCAACACAGAAATGACACAAATGGTAGAATTAGTAGACAAGGACATTAAATGTTATTGTAACAATATTCCACATGTTCAACATGGTAGATTAAAACATAAGCATGCTAAGGGGAGACATGGAAAACATAAACAAGATGAAGAATACAATGTTTGAGATTAGGAATACACTGGATAAGTTTAAGAGCAGATTAGATAAAGTAGAAGCAAAGGTTAGTGAACTTGAAGACACTACAGCAGAAACTACCCCAAAATGGAACACAAATAGAAAAAAGACCGGAAAAAATGGAATAGAGCAATCAGTGAATTGTAGAACAACCTCAAAGGCACAGTGTGTGTGTAATGTAAATCCTCACAGGAGAAGAAAGGGAGACAGAAAACAATATTTGAGGAACTAATATCTGAAGTTTCCAAATTAATAAAAACTAAAAATCCCACAGATCCAAGAAACTCAATGAACCTCAAGTGAAAGAAACATGAAGAAAATTAAACCAAATAACATTGAACTAAAATTGCCTAAAGCCAATGCTAAGAGAAAATTTTAAGAAAGAAAGCCAGAGAAAAGTCAGAGAAAGAAAGACACATTATATGCAAAGGTATACAGATAAGAGCAAGAGTATAGTTCTAGTCAGAAATAATGCAAGCAGGGCGCCTGGGTGGCTCAGTCATTAAGCGTCTGCCTTGGGCTCAGATCATGATCTTGGGATCCTGGGATCGAATCTTGTGTCAGGCTCCTTGCTCTGCTGGGAGCCTGCTTCTCCCTCTCCCTCTGCCCCTCCTGTGTTCCTTCTCTGTCTCTCTCGCTCTGTCAAATAAAAAATAAAAAAAAAAATCTTTTCAAAAAAAGAAATAATGCAAGCATTGGAGACATGGGGCAACATTTTAAAACACTAAGAGAAAAAAAAAAAAAAACCTGGCGAGCTAGAATCCTATACTTAGAGATAAAAAATTAAAAAACTGACGGTATAACCAAACCTTTGTCATATGCACTAAAGCTGAAAGAATTCATAACCAGCAAACCTGCACCATAAATGTTTGAGGAAGTCTGTCAGGTAGAAGGAGAATAATACCAGATGGAAATATGGAAACACACAAAAGAACAGAGAACAGTGGAAATGGTAAATATGTAGGTGAATGTAAAATACTTTTTCTTATTTTTCAAGTTTAAAGTAAAAATAACAATGCTTTGTAGGGCCTATAGCAAATGTAGAAGTAAAATATATGTCAACAATACCATAAAGGCCAGGAAAAGGAAATGGAAATAATATATTGTAAGATTCTTATACTATAAGTAAAGTGGCATAATATCACTTGAAAATAGGCTGAGATATTGTAAATTTGTAAACTACAAGCCCTAAGCAATCACTAAAAAACCAAACAGAGAGTAAACTAAAAATATATATAGCTAATAAGCCAACAAAAGACATAGAGGCAAAGAGGAAGAATAGAACAAAGAAGAGAAGAAAAAAAGTGAAAACAAATTGCAAGATGGTAGATTAAAACAAAATCATTTCAATAGTCACATTAAATGTAAATGATTTAAATATCTCAATCGAATAGCAGAGACTGTCAAATTGAATAAAAAATCAAGACCCGAATGTATGCTGCCTGTAAGAAATACACTTGAAATATAATAGACACACATCAATGAAAAATAAAAGATGAAAAAAAGATATACCATGCTAATAATATTCTAAAGAAAACAGAAGTGGCTATGTTAATATCAGGAAAACTATATTTTCGAGTGAATAATATAACCAGGGATAAAGAGAATCAATTCATAATGATAAAGGGATCATTCATCAAGATGACTTACAATTCTAAATGTTCATGCACCTAATAACAGAACTTCATAATATATAAAGTAAAAAAGATAGAACCAAAAGGAGAAATAGTTGAAGAATAGTTGAATCATAGTTGAAGATGTCAGCATCCCTCTGTCAATAATTGATAGAACAAGAAGACAGAGATCATCATTAAGGATATAAAATACTTGAATAATACTCTTAGCTAATGTAATCTAATTGGCATTTACAAAGCTCTCCAACTAACAACAGAAGAACACATTCTCTTCAAATGCACGTGGAACATCTACCAAGATAGATCATATTCTGAGCCATAAAATAGTCTCAATAAGTTTAAAAGGATTCAGATCAAACAAAGCATACTCTTTGACCACAATAGAATGAAATTAGAAATCAATAACAGAAAGATAGATGGGAAATCCCCAAGTATTTTGAAAACTAAATAACAATTTTAAATAATGCATGGGTCAAGAAGAAATTAAAAAGAGAAAGTAAAAAGTATTTTGAACTGAAAGAAAATGAAAACACAACATATAAAAATGCATGAGATGCAGCTAAAGCAGTGCTTTGAGGGAAATTTATAGCATTAAAAACTTAACAGGATTAGAAAAGAATAGAGGTCTGAAATCAATGACCTAAGTTTCCATCTTAAAAACTAGGGGAAAAGAGGCAAACTAAGCCCAAAGAAGGAAAATAATAAAAAGTAGAGCAGAAATCAATGAAGTGGAAACAGAAAAACAATAGAGAAAATCAATGAAACCAAAAGCTGGTTCTTTGAAAAGATACACACATTTGAAAACTTCTATCAGGCTTTATTAGGGCAAAAAGAAAGAAGACACAAATTATTAATATAAAGAGGGAGAATAGGTACATCATTAAAAATCCTACAGACATTAAAATGATAGTGAGAGAGTATTATGAACAACTTGATGCCAATAAATTTGACAACCCAGATAAAATGAATTCCTTAGTCATAAAATACCAAAGCTCAATCAAGAATAACTGAATAACCAGAATAGCCAGTTGTCTATTATAAACATTGAATTTGTAGTTGAAGACCTTCCCACAAAGAAAACTTTAGGCCCAGGTGGCTTTACTCTTAAACTCTATCATTTAAGGAAGAAATGATACCAATACTATAAAACTCTTCCAGAAAATTAAAGAGGGAACATTTCCTAACTCATTCAGTGAGGGGAACATTAGTGCCCTGATACCAAAACCAAAGAAAGGCACTGCAAACTTTCTTAACATACGAATCCAAAATATACAGACATACATATCTACCATGACCAAGTGGGCCTTATCCTGGGCATGCAAGGCAGGTTGAGCAATTGAAAATCAGCCAATGTAACTTACCATATTGGTAGATGAAAGAAGAAAATAATATAATCAAAAAAAAAAGAAAAGAAAATAATATAATCATCTCAGTAGATATAGAAAAAGCATTAGACAAAATTCAACATATATTCACAATAAAAACAAGAATTAAAGGAATTTCCTTAACCTGATTAAAAACATCTACAAAAATCCTATAGCTAATATTATACTTATTAATGGTGAAAGACTGAATGTTTTCCTCACATCTTTGGGAATGAGGGAAGGATGTCTGCTTTCACCACTTCTGTTCAACATGGTACTGAGGGCTCAGTCAATACAAACAGGTAAGAAAAAAAAAATTAAAAGTGTGCAGACTGGAAAGGAAGAAAAAAGCTATCTCTACTTATAGAGGATGTTATCACCTAA